AAATAAAAACCTCTGTGCTGAGACAGAAGAAGTATTTGCTTGCCCTGTTTGAGATCGGATCATAGAACTATAGAATCATTCAGGTTGGAAAAGAGCTCTGACATCATCGAGTCCAACCACCACCCCAGCACTGCCAGGTCAACCACTGAATCATATCCCTCAGTGCCACATCTACACATCTTTTAAATACCTCCAGGGACGGTGACTCTCTGGGCAGCCTGTTCCAGGGCTTGACAATGCTTTCTGTGAAGAAAATTTTTCCTAATATAGAATCTAAACCCCCCCTGGCACAAATTGACACCATCTCCTCACATCCTGTCACTTGGTGCCTGGGAGAAAAGACCAACCCTCACCTGGCTACAACCTCCTTTCAGGGAGTTGTAGAGAGTGATAAGATCCCCCCCTAGGCCTAATTTTCTCCAGGCTAAACACTCCCAGCTCCTTCATCAGACTTGTGCTTCAGACCCTTCCAAAACTCTATTTCCCTTCTCTGGACTCGCTCCTTGTCACGAGGGGCCCAAAAGTGAATACAGGACTCGAGGTGAGGCCTCACCAGTGCCCAGCACAGGGTGATGGTCACTGCCCTGGTCCTGCTGGTCACATTATTGCTGATACAGTCCAGGTGCCACTGGTCTTCCTGACTGCCTAGGAACACAGGCTCTTGTTCATCCTTCATGTAGAAACAGAAAAGGGAAATTGTTAGGGCTTTCTAGAAAAGAAAAAAAAAAAAGCAGCACATATTTCCCACCAGACTCCCTCACTGCTTTTATACTTTCCCTAGCCTGGATTCGTCACATTTATTCAAGGTGGTAAAATCTGCCTGATTTGGGGCAGCTTTGTTATGGTATGAACTCAGTAGAAGCCCCAGTAAGGGGAACTGTTTATTCTAGCTCAGTGCACTCCCAGCCGCCCTGGTTATAGTTCCTTTCTGGCCAGGACAGCTTTTGGAGCCTGTGGAGGACGGGAGGTTGCAGCAGCTTTCTGTCTCCACAGTCTGCTCTCCTGGTGGTCTGGCCACCTGGAGAGCTCTCCATCAGGGTGTTTGAACCACGCCTGGGCCGTGCCTGGCCCACAACCTTTCTTAGGTGTTTAAGCCCCCCCAAAAAAAACCAGGAAAAAGTGCTTTATCTATTTCTGTAGCTGCCCAAGATTCTGAGGTTCTTACAAATGTCAGTCCCTGCTCCATGAGGAGCTGTCAGACCTTATCTTGTGCCAAGTATGAGCATGTGTTTACACACAGTACATGATACTTCATGTAGGCACTTAGTGGCTTGGACATTTACCCTTTTGATGAGCCTGGAAACATCATTATAGGAACTTAAATAGATTAGAAATAGAAGCTAAAAGTAAACAATAAAAGCGCTGCAGCAGTCTTTTCTTTCTCCATGCTACTATTTTAATCCTCCTGTGAAAATCTGGGTAAGTTGATCCCCCCCTTGTAAAAATGTTTCCTTAAAACAGACAAACCTTTGAAATTGGATCTTCTAAGAAGGCTTTGTTATTGCATGACACGTCTAATGGGTAGATGCTTCTATTACCAGGACAGTCTTCCATAACATTTTACTGCTTTGATGCCCTGCTAATGTTGTATTTTGATACATTTCCTCTCCAGTATTTACCTGTGGAGGAACAGCTCTTTTTTTTTTTTTTATTTTCAACAGAATTTTTATGTGTTTTATAGGAAGACTTATTAATACTTCTAGTGAATGGAAGGTTCTTTAAAAGACTCCCATGAACCATTAAAATCAAAGCACATGTGAAGTGAAATTCATAACTTATATTAAAGCATCAAGTTCAGTTTCACTTCCCAGAAGCAAGGGCACCAAATTTTGGGTGGTGGGTTGTTTTTTTTTTTTTAATTTTTATTTTTTAGTGTTTTCTTTTAGTTCTTAACCTACTTTGTATTCTGCAACTTGGCAAAAATCTGAGACCTCTGACTCTTAGTTTAGTGTTTGTTCTTCTATGGAGAGGTACCATGCAAAAGTGAAAGAAAAAATGAAAGAGTTAAAGTGATAAACTACTTGTGCATTTCTAATTATTACCTCTGGTAGCAGAAAGAGGTAAAAAAGGCTTGTGTTTGGGATCTTAGAACCCATGTTATCCCAGAAGCACATTCGAATCAAGAAACATATCAAATGCTATACAAATACAATTAATGAATATAGAAGCTTTAATTTTATTTTAGTATCTAAAAGTCACAGATCCATTGCAAAGAAAAAGGAAGTGGCTGTGGGTGGGTGTGGTGGTTTTTACTTTCTGCTTAAACCACCATGCCAGTATCTAGTTTTCTGTGTGTGGGAAAGAAGTTGGCAGAAGTTACGTGGGAAAACAGTGAAGGCAAACTGAGATAGAAATAACTTTGGAAGGTAGAAAGAGTGGAAGTGAGGAAGGAAGAAAGTAGGCGCATCTGAAACTTGATTTTCTTTATAATCAAGTTGTGCTGTTGACCTTAACCCTTCTTCATGTGTCAGCATCAACTCTGGTGTATCACAGAATCACAGAATGGTTTGGTTGGAAGGAACCTTAAAGCTCATCCAGTTCCAACCCCTTTGCCATGGGCAGGGACACCTTCCACTATCCCAGGTTCCTCCATGCCCCATCCAACCTGGCCTTGAACACTTCCAGGGATGGAGCAGCCACAGCTTGTCTGGGCAACCTGTGCCAGGACCTCACCACCCTCACGGGGAATAATTGTCTTCCTAATCCCTGTTATAAACGTGCCCTCTTTCAGTTTGAAGCCATTTCCCCTTGTCCTAAGGGATATCCTTTTGCATCAGAATGGATCAAAAATATGAGATATCTATCTGCTTTTAGATCAATGTGCTGGACCGTGTTTGCATCTTTTCTGCCTCTCCTGCCATTTGGGGAACTCTTAATTCCTTGTGAGAGAGGTTTCTGAATGCAGACTCAATGTAGGGGCACCATCCTGCCTCAAAACCAGAGATTTGTTCTTGCATTTTGTTGTCTTTGGAACAGATACCCCAAACCCTTTAATTTGTACATGTGGAAAGTTGAGTAAAACTGAACAAAAGAAATCTATGTTCAAGATGATGATGTTGGCAACCAGGTGTTTACTGCTCTCTTGCATGGTTGTTTTATTTTGCATTTGAAACCTTAAAAAGACAGAACAATTATTTTTAAAAATTAAAAGACCAATAATTAAGAATGAGCAGTATATTATGGTTGTGATAACTGTTCTCTTTCGTTTTATACACCCCGTGTGATTAAAAAAAAAAAAATTGTCCTTTTCATTTACATATGCACCCTATTGTAAGAAAAAAGAGAAATACTTAAGCTTTATCCTTTATGAGCACTTGTTTTGAATCTGTGATGGTTTTAATATTATTTAGTATTTCAATATGCTATGGTAATAAATATTTCTGGTTTTATATGCAGGTATTTGCAGTTTATAACATATTTAATAGTCTCGGGACAGATTTCTGTGCTGTGCTTACAAGTTCTAGGAAGTGTCTGACATTCTAATCCATGTGCATGTGCACTGCTGCATAATAGAGAAGAAATTATTTGAGTTGTGCCCGTTTTTGAGATGTTGTACAACGTGTTATACAACACAACCATCTCTTTAAGATGCTGATAGCCTCAGCAAGGGAGACAAATGAGAGGGGGCAAATCCAGAGTGTAATTTCCTTTTGCTGTGATTAGTGTAGTACAGTGGGTTATGCTCAGATGTTGCCAGGGTAGTTCTTGTTGTGCTCTTGCACGTATCAGGCTGAAATTTGTTATCATTGCATTCATTTCAAATGCTGTTTGCAGAATACTGGATATAATTTCATTATTAGATAAAGAAGAAGAACCCTACTATAGAACTCTTGAGCTGTTTATAGATAAATTACTGGTTTATTTTATTTCAAGGTAGAAGAATGCTTTCATAAGGAAATAATTGATAGATTCAGTCAGCAATGAAGATGTGAATCTTGCTTATAAATAAATTTTCACTATTTTTGTAAGAATCTGTAGTGTTATTTTTGGCCTGCGCTATTTAATTTACAATGAGTATATTTCACTGTACAAGTTTTTGTATTTTGAAAACTCAAGTTTAGGAGGAGAGATTTTATATTTAGAAATGCCCTGAAGAGATACTAAAAAACATAGGAGTTGTCTTTCACCTGTGTAAAGAGCAACTTCTGGTATTTCTTAGAGAAGGAATACCAGAAAAAGAAGAAAAGTAGAAAGAGAAAGAAATACCTTACAAAAAGCCCATTGTCACAATTCCATATTTTATGACATCTTTTGGAGGGGCTTTGCTTTTTGTTTGCAGTATTGTAGGAACACTTTCTTCTCTTTATGACCTCCTGTCATATCATGTTGCAGTGTAGACTTTAAGAGCCTCCCAAATCTTATGCATAAAAATGTTTACCTTTAATTTTTTTCCTTCTGTAGCACTAGCCTTTAGATTTGGGATAAAATACCTGTTGGCATTTTACCTTTTCAAATAGTTATTTGGTAATTTTGAAAGCGAAGGGGACTGCAAATACAGAAATACTCCTAGTTGTGCATATGCTAGAGCTTTACCAACTCTTTTCTCATGGAATCATAGAATGATTTGGGTTGGAAAGGACATCAAGGATCATCTAGAGAGTTGTGGCAAGAGAGGTTACCTTTGAAGACCAAGGCAAAAAAAGTTGCTGAGTACCTCAATCTTTTTGTCATTCATTGTTACCAGTTTACCAACATAGTTTATGAAGGGCATGAGGGGTGTACAGAAATGTTCCTGCAAACTGGATTTTCCTCTGTTTCCTCAGTCTTTCAGTTTTCCTCACCACATGCTTCAGTGTACACTCTTGCAGCTTTTTTGTTTCTTTAATCATATTACTTTGGTTTATAATCCTTGCACCCTCTGAGCGGTCCATTTCCTAGTATAGGTGTATTAAACTTGATGTTATTATTCATATTTTCTTCTTTTTGTTTTCCTGAAGACCAGTTGCTGTGTTTCTTTTTAATTTATTTCCATAACCTTGCAATCAACCTCTTTCTTTCAGGTTTTCCCTGGGAGATGCTCGAAGGCCACTCCATGAAACTGCAGTACTGGTGGAAGACATTGTCCATACTCAGCTGATAAATTTGGTAAGAACATAACCAGTAAAATAATCTTCACTCTAAAACTCCTTCAATCCATGTGACATTTTCATGATCAAATGGCTAATAACATATTGTTCTGGTTTTAGAAACAAATAAAACACAGAAACTGAGGGTGATGCTCTGGCCTTAAGAATATGTAGAACCTACTATTTGTCTTCCTTGTGGTTATGTCCTGTGTGGGGGGGATATCTGCAACCCCACCTAACCCTGGGAATAAAGCTCATGGATTTGTTTGTTAAAAACTTAAAGTTGCTAAAAAGAAAAAAAACAAACTGGCAATTCATCTGAAGACTTCCTTGCTAATTTTTTTTTTAATACATTCTAGTATTTGGGTTAATGCATCATTTACTTAGTATTTGTGCTCTAATATTCCTATTATGGGTTGTTTGGATTTCTGTCAAAAACAAATGCAGAAATCTGAAATATTTGAATATGTTGAAAGCCAATGAAAGTGTTGTGTTAATGAGGCTGTTTTGAATCTTCTCTGTCAAAAGCAACTCTAAATTTGAACCTCTCTGTAGTTTTTAATTAAAGTTCAACAGTGCCTCTGGAGAAATCAACGGTATTTTATGCTATGGCACGAATTTGAAATCTGGTATTTTGCATGGAAAAGTATACAACATGTAGGTTGGGAAGCATAACAAATGTGTTTTTCTTATTATATTCTTTAAAAGATGTGTAGATGTGGCACTTGGGGACATGGTTTAGTGGTGACCTTGGCAGTGCTGGGTTAATGGTTGGACTCAATGATCTCAGAGGACTCTTTCCAACTCTAATGATTCTCTGATTCAAATGAAATTGCCACCATGTATGGGAAGGGACATTATATGGAACTAACATATACAGATAACACTACTACATATTATAACTAATATTTACATCTGATGAGTCCTTGGATCAGCTAGAGCTTGGAGCTGCAAGTTCCTAGATCTTTTCTCTATAATGAGCCCTTTTAGCAATCAGAAGGGTTTTAAAGTTTCAAGCTAGCTCCTGGTACTACATTAACTAGAACTAAAAATTTCTGTAAAATGGTAAAATTCAGAATGGGGCATGGCACATGTGATAAATATGCACGTGTATGTATAATATATATTTTATATGTGATTTATATATATTGTATATATATTTATACACATATGTATTATATATTTATACACTTACATTTCTATCTATTTATACATATTTTTATTATATATAGATTTAATAGAAATACACTATAAAAAAATTTCCTCTTGCCCACTCTTTGCCTGCAGACAGGTGTTTTCCTTCAGCTTTGCACATAATCCAGCAACCATTCACTAGTTTCCTGCATCTCAGCAAATGCCTTGGCATCCATCCCTTCCAGCTCTGGGCAGTTTCTTTCTGCTCATGCCTCTGCAGCCCAACAGTGTGTCCCTGTCTCTGCAGTCTCCTGGCATCTTTGTGCCGTGGATTCTTTCCTCATGACGCTCCTCTTGGTCTGTCCCGAACGTGCCCCGTGGCTCCTTGGAGGGGACAACGTCTCTCCCCTCTCTGCAGGTTTCCCCGCTGGTTAAACACGCTGCTCCGGGCATATATTTGTAATTCTTATTGCAGCTTTAACTCTGACAAAGTAACATTTTCTCTCTGTTAATGACCCGTGTAATTTATGCAAACCCGGTGGCCGCGGCTTCGCTCTTCCCTCCGCAGTGCCGTGGTGGAGTCTGCGCTGCTCAGCCCCGCTGAGCTTGAGCTTTACACCAAACCCTGCCTTTGAGAAAGTGCAACCTGTGGCCATGTGGTCTTTGCACTTTAATCAAAGCCGGGCACTTACTCGGGGGCCGGCGTGACCCGGGGTTAACCCTGCGTGGGGTGTAGGAGCATGTAGGATTTCCTGACAGAAGGAAGAATGGGAACGGAGCGGCAGATAAACAGCTTTTCTAACCTTTCCCCTCCCAGCCCGAGACAGCACTTTATTTCTGAGGAAGTGAAAGTATCTTTAATAGCTCATTGCTTTGACCTCTGACATTCACATGCCGGAACTCTTAAATCAGGAGCGTTTTACTTGCTCCGGACTTCTGATAGGGGACTTTGCACATTTGTCATCCCTAGCTGTGCGTCCTGATTGAGCTATTCTGTGTAGTTATGCGAAATTTTCACTTTAGTTGTAGGTATTTGTGTGGGTATTTACCCAGTAGTAGAAAAATGCTATTTTCATAATTGAAGCTGACTGCAGATGTGAATTTATTGCTCACCACCCAGATTTTGTCATATTACTCATGTTAATGGACTAGGCAGTTCTCACTATGTAATGTAGTAATTTCTTCTCAAAATTCATGTCTGTGTTTGTAATGTAGTAATTTCTTCTCAAAATTCATGTCTGTGTTTTCCATAACTAACACATGTATAAGGCTAAACTGTAGAAATTATTTTTATGCCTGCAATAAAGCTGGCACATATCCTTCATTTGTAAGAAGAGCTTGTAGTTGTTGATTAAGTCCAGGTTTGAGCTTCTGAATTAAAAAATAAGTTGCCAGCATGATTACCTTTGATTGGTTGACTTTGGTATCTCGCAGGTTTATAGTTCCAGCTTCTTATTTTCAGAGTTGATCTGAACTCTGTTAAATCAGGGTCTGGTATGGACAGATTTATACAGTCACTGCTTCAAACCACTGTACACTTCATGAAGTCCGGCTGCTGGAGCAGATGGGGCACTAACAAGGCAAATTCCTGGAAAGCAGACTCGTAAGAGTCTGCATCACATTTTATGATCAGTTTTTGGGTGTATTTTGAACAATATGTACGCTGCTTTACACTAAGGGGAATTCTACTGAAAGTGTATAGCAGTGTGTAGAAGGAAATGAGCATCTCCTGAGGAAGATTCATGTCATCTTGAAATTACTTTCTGAGTTGAATGAGCTTGTATCTCTCAAGGAATTTGTTTTCTCAGCTGACTAATAAAGGGGTCCTTTGACAGCTGGCTGGAGTTTGAATATCTAGGAGGTAAGCCTAAGTGTTGAGAGATAAATTCCATCCAGTTTGTGCCAGGATGCTAGCATGAGTTTGAATTTTTTATGCTTATATTGTAATTATAATTCTTTTGTTATTTACATATGAAGCAGCAGAAAACCATAAAAACCCCACGCTGGAAGGAAAAAGTGCTGTACATTTTTTGGTCAGGCATAATGTATTTGAAGAGCACAAGGAATTCAAGTTTAATCTGAAATCAAATTCACTGTTGACTGATCTAAATATTCATTTATAGGTAAATGTTTAAGGGATTTATAGATGCCTTCATGTTACTCTAAAACTGTATTTATTTATGTGTGCTAAGACTAGAAGTTTCAGTCACGGCTATATTGTTCTGTGTGGTTAAGCACAAGTAGCAGTACACAAATAGTACAAGGAAAACTGTGCCTGCAAAAAGAGGTTCAACAGGGAATACAAAATCAAAAAAGGGACAAGCCTTTAAATTACTGAGTTTTGGTGTGGAACGAGGCCTCTTTTAGTTCCTTCTTTCATGATATTCAATACAGTTACAAGCTGTAACTAAGAGGAATGGAATAGGAATTTTTGCTTGTTATTAAATTATCATTGAGAGGTTTGTCATCAAAATAGCATAAGTCTTGAACATATACAGATGTAAATTTTTTTGGAAATTGTTTTATACAATGTTTAAGAAAGAGGAAAAGTCCCTCCTTGACTTCACCTGCTCTCTCTAGATTTTTTTCATGCTGGGATCGATCATAAGAAAATGTAGTCTTATTAGACTAATATTAAAAGCTAAATATTATTATCTTCTCTTGATAGGGCCGTAGCTCCCCATTCATGCTTCAGATGTCATAATCACAGGTGAACAGACAATAAGATCATGATGTGCTACTTAAATCAAAAAGACTACTAATGAATTACCTTCCTGGTGCTGGGAATTTGCCAGCTGGGTGATTGTTACCAGAATGCAGTACCAGCAGTTTATTCTGGGAGCATGCTGAGTGTGGCACAAGTGCAGACACCTGTTTTCACAGAATTTGGTGATGGATTTGAACTTCAGTCCTTTGCATTTCATTTTGGAGATATCGGATGGCTTCTGGGAAGAGATTAGATTTGTTTTTACAAAGTGGAAGATATTTCAGCAGTAGAACAGGGCTCAGCAAGGGAATATGGAAATTACAGATATGCACACCAAAAAGACAGGTAAGTAACTTTGTCTGTCCATGAAGGAGTGGCTGCTCAGAGGGAAGGCCACAGCACATCGCAGCAGCCTTGGACTGCATCCTTTAAATGTTTTATCTGCTGTAATTCTTTGTAATGTGTGATAAGTCATCGCAGAGGCTGTCATGAATGATAGAATTCATGTTAATAGAATTGTGGTTTGCTCCCTGTCAGCTGATGTGTGTCTGCTGGAAAATGGACTCTGATCTCTTCAACTGATGTCAAATGATTTAAGCCAAACTCACTTGGTTGTCTTTTTTTAGAATGCAGTAACGTCAGCTCAAAGGAACTTCAGTTGCTCAAAATCATGTTGTATGTGGTGTCTGTTGGCATTTTTTTTTTCATCATTTACTTTTATCTTCCTATGGAAAAATTTAATTTCATCCAACTTGTGCTGCTACCTAATGCTATAAATATCCCACTCTTGCTTCCTTTGTAGGAGCAGGGTTTGGGTCCCATGTTACATATGTGTATATATGAACACTTTGTGTGTACACTTGGATAATTTTAATTACTTCTGGAAATTATTTGCCTCTTACACAGATAACATATTTAATTAAGAGTCAGCCCTTGGTCTCAACCAAAGCACAGAGCACAGATTGGCAGGTGAATAATCTGTGCTGGAATACACAGATTTTATTAAATTGCAGCAGTAATTTATAGGTAGAAAACTTGGAATGAGATGCAAACATTCAGCAGTATGCCAAACCCTGAGTAAGTAAGTCCATAGTAAATCCATCCTGAGGAGTAAGTTGCTTTTTATTGTAGGAGGTTTAGTAAAGATTGGGTAGTCATTTGCCACTGTTTGCCTAGGA